TGGATGTCAATGCCGTTCCCACGCTCCAGCTGGGAACCTGGGCAGTTACTTGCCTCCCAGGCCTTCTTTCCTTCATCTGTGAAGTGGGATGGTCACGAGAGGTGTTTTGTAGGGTGGCTTATACCCGGAGTCTCACCCAGACCTGATTTAATGGTGGGACTTGGGACTTCTGAGCTGATAATATTTAGATGAGATTTTGGACTTAGAGTTGAAGCTCTAACGGTGAGACTTTCGGGGATGCTGGGATGCGGTGAATGTATTCTGCACATGGAATAGGCTTAGATTTTGGGGGACCAGACGGTGGACTGTAGTGTGGGTTTAGTGGTGGCCCCCCAAAAGATATGTCCACCCAGAACCTGTGAATGTGACCTTACTTGGAAAGAGGGTAATTAAGTTAAAGAAATCAAGAAGGTATCATCCTGCGTTAAGGTGAGTCCTAAATCCTATGACAAATGTCCTGATAAAGGAGAACACACAGGTGAAAAGATGATGTGATGACGGAGGCAGAGCTTGGGGTGATGCCTCTGCAGGCCGAGCAATGCCAAGGACTTCCTGGAGCCGCCAGAAGCTGGGAGAGACGTCTCAGGACCTCCAGAAGGGACCACCCCTGCTAACACCTTGATTTCAGACTTCTGGCCTCCAGAATGGGGAGAAAACACACTTCTGTTGTTTTCACCCACAAGTCTGTGGTCCTTTGTCACAGCAGCCCTGGGAACTGACACACTAGGAGCCTCATGGAGTTAAGCGGCGAGTTTGTGCTTCAGTCCTGGTACCATGACAACAGAGAGGAAGGATTCCTTCCCGGCAGCCATGGGGCTCCTCTTCATTTTCCTCTCCCCATTCATGCTCTCTGGAGCCATCGGAAGCCAGGCAGCCTCATGGCCCCGAGAGTCAATACCATCACCAAGCAACCCAGACACCCAGCACCTGGCTCCCCACGTCCTTGCTTCCACGTGTACTTGGTCCCATGTCCCACCAGGGCTAAGTCGGATGGCACCACAGCCAGGGATGACCTGGTTTTCCATTTCCTGCTGGGAAGGGGACTCATGGTTTCCCACATAAGTGAGCAACTCAGGATCGGAATCCCATTTGAGCTTGTTTCCTGTTTCCTGGGGCCAGTTCTGGTATGTTTCCCAGCAGGAAACAGCACATTCAAATTGGGCAATCTGAAGGGAGTTTAAAAACAGGACTATTTACAAACGTGCAGGCAGCGTGTTAATTTCAGAATGACGCTATTGGACAAAGTACACATGAAAACTGGAGACTGCCAACGATCACACCCTCTCAGGAAGCTTGGCTTTTTGGATGAATTATGGGTTGATGCACGTTTGTGCTTGGGTTTCAGGGCTTGAGCCTTGAATACAAATCAGACCCCTGCTGTTCTGCACATGTCCTAAGTGGGCACTCGCCGTCCGCCAGAGACATTGGCCACTTTCTGCCCTCGCACACACTCTCATTTCAATCTCAGGGACAGTGTCATCACAGCTCCTGGGCCCCAGGCCTTCACAAGGTCACTTGCTCAGACCCCTGCCGACCGCCCCAGGTGCAGCAGTCCTGTGATCACGCACTGCCCACGATCCTGTGTGGGCGCTCCCATGTGCTGGGTGTCATGGACACGTTTATCTGGTTACTGAGTCACTGACAGTCCCCTGTCACTGGCACAGGATGGAGAAGCCCCTGTCCTCACCCTGCTGAAGTTCCTGATCATTGTGGGCACCCCTGGGCACAGGGACACTTTGCTGGCCTCACTGCCCCCTCCCCGTTCACAGGTAAGTCCCTCCCAGGCCCCTAGAACTTCACAGTGCCCCTCGGTGGAGTGCGGCAGCCTGGTGAGGCTGAGGCAGCTCCTGGCCTTTGTCTCCTGCCCACTCTGCACCCCTTGCTGTCAGCCTGCCTGGGGTGACACTCCGCCTCGGTGCCCCCCCCCCCCCCCCCCCCCCCCCAGCCTCAGCAGTCCACCCACGGCAAAGCCGCACGGCTGCCTCAACACTTCCCCCCCCCCCCCCGCACCGTCTTCAGAAACATTCCTTCACTCGCTGCTGCCCTGGAAGGATGGCTACAGAGCCCCTCCTCTGTGCCGGCGCTGAGCTGGGTGCCTTCAACATGCTGACTGGGAGAGGGCAATGGTAGGAGGGAGCCATGTCCCGAGAGCGGCTGCAGCTCAGCATAAGGAGGCTGAGCTCAGCCTGGGAGCCCAGAGCCCAGGGAACTTGCCTCCCTGGAGTTTAACTCAAGACTGGATGCACGGCAGGTGGTAGTCGGCCCGGTTATGCTCCGGTAAATACACCTCCCAAATCTCGAGGGCTTCCCACAGTGGCTGACTTCTCCCTTGTTCTGTGCATCCACTGCTGGTTGGAAGGTGGTCCCCAAGTGATGGGGACTCCCTCTTAGCCAAGGGGGCATGTATGGCCAGTCTGGACACTGGCTCCTAAAGTGTGGCTCAGAAATGACACAGTTCACCTCTGCAAACATTTCATTGGTCAAGCAGGCCACAATGGTCAAGGGGCGCCACCGAATTTCAAAGGTGGGGTCGGGAACAAGCGTAGTTCTACCTCGGGCAGTAGACGGGAAGCGGGAACGGCCAAGACTGAGTGCCACTACTTGAGGGGTGGGGGCCGAGCCAGGTGAGGGGCTGCGAGGGCAGGACAGAGCCCAGGGTGGCTGAAAGATGTCCACGGAGGGACGGGCGGTAGCGGGAGAGACCCGCAGGGCCTGGTGCCTTGGCCTGCAAGCCGGGTGGGTGGTCCTCTGTCAAGGCGGGACAGGGGTGGGTGGTCCTGTTATGGTGGGGCAGCGGAAGGCCCTTTCAGGACTTCCTGGGGGAGGAAGGAACCGCCAGCTCTGCGGGCAGAACCTAAGGAGGCAAAGGCTTCCAAAAGTCTAAGACAACTCATAACAAAACAATTCTTCAGTGAAAAAGTATTAGGCGCAGGGAGCTGAGCGGTACTGAGAGTCTTCTCCTGGGTCGTTGGCTGTGCAGAGCGCTTTATCCGCGAGGGCCCTCCTGGCCAATCGAATGTGGGGAGGCGCATCGAGGTCAAATCGCGCCTCGCACCACACCCCCCACCCCCATACGCTGTACAAAGTCCCCGGGCGGCCTGAGGCGCAGACCATCGCTAAGGGCTTCCGCTCGGGAACCGTGCCGGGCGGACTACACTGAGGGCCGGACTGGAGACCCAACTAAGGGTACCCCGAGAGCGCAGGCGCGTGTGCCCAGCGTCGCCGTGACCCCGGGCGCGCCCGTGCGTGCGTGTGCGCGCGCGCTCGCTGTCAGGCTCTGGGCCGGCCGACCAGGGAGGGGCTCGCGCACCGGGCCCGACCCCGCCCCGCCACCTCCGTCCCTCCCTCGGCGGTGCAGCCGCATGGGGGGATCGGCGCCCGACCCGGGGACGCGGGGCTGCGCGTCCTGACACCGACCCGGCCTCGGCCCCCGCACAGCCGTTTCCCGCCGCCCCATCCCGGGTCCCGCGCGTGGTCTCGCCAAGGGCAGAGCCCCAGGATGAGGTTTAAGGCTTCCCCGGGTCGGGCGGCAGCAGTCCGCAAGCCACCTTTGTTCACAAAGGCCAAAGGGGCCCCCTCCTTCTCTCCTGCCTCTGCCGCCGCGTCGTTGTGCGC